GTCGGAAGAAGAGATGCAAGCGGGCTGTCGATTTTTTCTGAGTTTCAAAGTTTCACCTTTGGATACCAATAGCACCAGTCAGGGAGTCTCCATTGTTGACGTTTCGGTGCTTCAGGGAAGTTGTTCGTGTAGGTGGAGGAAGGAAATGTGTCTTTGCTTTTTGGGGGTTGGGTCGTTGGGATAGTGGTGGATGGGTAGTTGTGTAAAAATCAAAATGAAAAAGAGGGTATTTTTGTCCTTCTATTGCCAACGATTGTATGGGAAATGGTTAGGCCTGACACGTGAGTGGATTGATTTAATGCAAGTAGTGGACAGGTTGGTTTGTGGAAAGGACTTTACTTGGTGTACATAATTATTGTACATAGGGGTGTCCATAACCCTCACATGGGGTGGATAGGGGTGTCCATAACCCTCACATGGGGTGGAGCCCCACCCCATGTGAGGGTTATGGACACCCCTATATACAATAATTATGTACACTTAACATTTTTCTTGTGGAAAAGTGTGAAAATCAAATGTAATGGACAAAAACGGGGCTCAAACGGAAGCTTATTATGATCGAGTTACAATTATTGCATTTATAAATCAATTGGTGCCAATGAGGGCAAACTAAATCTTTTATGGGATTCAACGATCATAATTTAAGTGACCTAGCCCATATGATTCAAAGTAGCATTGTTGCACGATACTCCCCAATAAACTCTGTCCCCGTTCCCAAGTTTCTACTCTAATGAGATGCATGAAATTCAAAAATAGTTAAAAGGAGAGATCATAGTTAGGTTTAAGTTTCCTTCAACGAAATAGAATAAGTTACTAGAATGGCAGGGGCGGATCCAGGAATTTTTCGCGCACGGGCTAAAATTTAAAAGCCGATATAATCATGGTTTAAAAAGGCGGTAGTGAGGCACGCCTTGAGACGCATGTAGTATGCCTCGAGGCGGTATTTTTTAGGCTAAAAATATGAGGCTCATACCTCTAAATCTGAGGCGCACGCCTCAAGGACTGCACCTCATGGAGCATGAGGCGTGCGCCTCATTTAAAATTTGATTTTTCAATTGTATGTAAAGAAATCAGAAAGTGCCTTTCTTAAAAAAGAAAACTGTCATTTTAAAAAGGCATTTTGGGCCCAAACAAAACAATAAAATACCAAAAAAACTAAACGACAGTCAGGAAGATGATGGGAAAATTAGATATGATGATGATTCCATTAACGATGCTAGTAATAGTGATGATAGTGCAGACTATTAGTTTTTTTTTTTTAGTTTAAGCCGTTTTTTTTTTCATTGCAAATGGAGTGATTTCTAACTTCTGTA